TTCCTTCCTTCCTTCCTTCCTTCCTTCCTTCCTTCCTTCCTTCCTTCCTTCCTTCCTTCCTCCCTCCCTCCCTCCCTCCCTCCTTTTCCTTCCTTCCCTTCATCATCTCTCTTTCCTTCCCTCCCTAGTTGCATTTGCTTTCCTCTACAAATAATAATGTATTAATCTCAGATTCTTTATTTCTCCTGACAAACTATCTGAATAAATATCTATGTATATATTTCTCTTACGTAGGGAGCAGAGCTTCTCCGAGATCCCTCACTGGGTATTCAATTCAGGGTTCATCTGATCAAAATGATTATCCTCGCAGAATCTGAGGTAAAAAAAAGAGAGAGAGAGAGTAATAGAGAGAAAAGAGGAAAGAGAGAAAGACAGAAAGAGAAATAAAGAAAGGAGAGAGAAAGACAGAAAGAAGGGAGAGAAATTGATATTTTTTCCCTCCATATTCTCCAGAGAAATGATACTGAAACTATGAATTTGTGACTCTGCCTAGGAAGCACCTAAAGACTGTCCGTTATATGGAACCTTCTTCAGATAGAGATAAAATATTAACTGTGGAGGCAACGTAAAGTATTTGGAGAGAAACAGCTTAGGCCTTTCTTATTTTTAATAGACTTACCTGTCTGGACAATCCAAATTTGTGGGTCTGAAGTTTCAAATTGACCACCTAAAATTGTGGTTGTTCTATCCCCAAAGATTGCATTGCTATGATATGGATCTGTCGAATCTCAGCCTTAATTGTGTCCCCTTGAATCTGGGTCTAAATGGGGCTCAATGTGTCTCTCCTTTTCCCAGGAAAACATCCAGATCTCCACCAACATCACAAGCTCAATCCTGAGCGTTTGCAAATGGAGCCTGGAGATCAACCCAGAGAATGACCTGGAACCTTACCACGCTGACCTTGTTCTTTACATCACCAAGTAATTACCGTTCACTTTGAGGAATGGTTAGCCAGCCGGAAAGCTTTGCGCTGGAAGACAAATTCCCTTCCCCGGAGCCATAACGGTTTGTGTTGAAGCCTTAGGAGCATAAGTAGTCTTCAGACTTACAACGGGTCACTTATAATCCAGGTCGTAAGTAACTCCTTAGGTTGATCCGTCAGAACTTTAACTCTGGGAACTGCAATCTGAAGTGAGGTATAAGCGGCCCAATTGGCGGAACTCTGATCGTAGCTTGGTTGTTTTTTTCCTTTTTCCTTTTCTTTCTTTTGGTCTTTTCTTTCCTTCAATTTTTCGTTACTTCCTTTGCCTGCCTAGATTCGATCTGGAACTCCCGGATGGAAATAAGCAGGTGCGTGGCGTCACCTCGAAAGGTGGGGCCTGTTCAAGGTTTTGGAGCTGCGTCATTGCCGAAGACACGGGCTTCGGTTTGGGCATCACCATTGCGCACGAGATCGCCCACAGGTGAGTGCGCAAGGAGGACCAGAACGAGCCTGGAATAAACAGATAGGTAAGTAGGTAGGTAGGTAGGTAGGTAGGTAGGTAGGAAGGTAGGTAGATGGATGGATGGATGGTTGGATAGGCTCCTTGCTGTCTCCTTCTTGCTCACACACCAAATACTTTTTCAGTTTCCAAACAGCCCTCAACTCTCTCACACGCTGACAGGATGCGAGCCAGATGAATACCGATGGGTGCTGGTAGACAGAGGCACAATCGCCCCCCGCCTTATTTTCCTCCCCCAAAGCTAAGCCCGACCACATTGTTTCATAGCGAAACGCGCGTATCAAGCTAGTGCGCTATAAATTGCAATCGTAAATTCAAGCTGGTTTGCAAACACCCCAAAGGAAAATTGTCTCGAGGGCAATTCTGGGATTTGGGATAACGGTAAGGAAAATCTTCATCTCAACCGCTCCTTTGATCTCTTCTTCTCCTTCTTTGATTCTGGTTTGATGGCAGCTTTGGGATTGACCACGATGGAGAAGGGAACCGCTGCGTGGCAGACCGACACGTTATGGGCTCCGAAGGGGGACACAACAGCGTGGACCTGACATGGTCGGTCTGTAGCAGAGAACAGCTGCAGGAATTTGTCAGGTAAAAGGACCAAAGCTCTGCTTTCTGTCTTCTTTGGGCCTCTCATCCAATGCAGAGGTGCAAGATCTATCCATCAATTACTTCTTGCTAAGAATGTGTGCTCAGATATCAAAAGATATCAAAAGAGAGGAATGCACACTCACTAGCACTGATGATGTTACTGAGGTGGGTAATGAAAGGTCTGCAAGAAAGCATCCATGTTCAGAGATCCCCAAGGACTCCATAATTATCTCCTCCTCCTCCTCCTCCTCCTCCTCCTCCTCCTCCTCCTCCTCCTCCTCCTCCTCCTCCTCCTCCTCTCCACAAACCCCACTCCCTTCTAACACGATGATGTTTCCTAGTTGGGTAATGAAACGTCTGCAGGAAACGCAGCCCAGCTCAGGGAGCACCAAGGAACTCCACTTTGCGTTCTTGAGACGGCCTTTCTGTATTCTTCCCAACTAACCCGACAACCTTGGTTTCCTCTGGTTTATTACCAGTACAGGCCAAGCAAGCTGCACAGATGATTTGCCTGTGTTAAAGACCAGTCTGCCGGAAGCAAAGCCTGGCCTGTATTTTGGGGCAGACGAGCAGTGCAAAATCGCCTTCGGTTCGGGGGCTTTGGCCTGCACTTTCAGCTATGAC